TTTCTGGGTTTTTTTGGAATGAAACAAAAGTTTTACCTGCAAGTAGAGAAGGGGCTTGGGAGGTTTGAGGATAAGATATGAAGCCGCTGTCGAAGGGATAGGAGAGTAAGACTCTGATAGTTAGGGACAGACTGCTTAGCAGGAATGAGTGCCTGTTCAGGTCTGTGATTCTGAATCGAGAGCAAAACCAGTTTTGCTGTGTGACGTTCTCCGGCCGCATGTGTCCGCCGTGGGGAATGCAGAGGTTGAGTCCTGTTGAGCGAGCTTGGAAGGAGAGGGGGGCCAGGGAGCAACTCCACGATGGACCACGCACTCTGCCATGCTCACGGGAGACACAGACGTCAGCCACGGGGATTTCTCTCTCCAGCCCCCTTCAGTGTCAGCTGAGCGCGAAGGCGCTTGCCCAAGCAGCAGTGGTGACACCCAGTGACCACTCCTTGAAGTGTAGCCTCTTGGCTGTAGGTGGTGAGCAGACCCTGAAGCAGCCTGGTATGAAATAACCAGGGGGTGTTCTGCTCCACCCGGGAGGCACGCAGCCCTCCCCGGTTCCCTCCACAGTTGTCTCTCGCAGGATTCTGTCCCGCTGGCCCTGAACTCTCTGTGGGGATGGAGAGGCTGCTGCTCACTGGGTCACTGGAAGCGGAGGTCGGGCACTGAAGGCAATCTGGGGGCTGTTAGCTCAGGCCCGGGCTTCTCGGCTCGATTCCTGCTGTCGTGGGGTCTAGGACAAGCAACCTAGGATGGTTTTGGGCACTAGGATGGGTTTTTAAAAATACATTTTCATTACTGATTTCAGAGAGGAAGGGAGAGGGAGAGAGATAGAAACATCAGTGATGAACCCAGATGGCATGGCTCAGTGGTTGAGCATCAACCTATGAACCAGGAGGTCAGGGTCGATTCCCAGTCAGGGCACATACCCTGGTTGCGGGCTCAATCCCCCGTGTGGGGCGTGCGGGAGGCAGCCGATCAATGATTTCTCTCATCATTGATGTTTCTCTCTCTCTCTCTCCCCCCGCCTCCCTTCCTCTCTGAAATCAATAAAAATATATATTAAAAAAATAATGTGCATGAGAATGTTTCTTACTCTGACACGGTGCTTGGTTTCAGGGGTTAGTATTAGATATTTACACCAAGGTAGACTTCATACATTTTAAGGAGAAAGAAAAGAATTTTAATGGCAATGAAATTCCATCAGAGGCAGGGAACTCCTGGTCACTGGGGGCTCCACCAGAGGCAAGGCGACAGCCGATGTCCTTTCCTGGGCTGAGGGCGCAGAGGGAGGAGGGTGTAAGAAGCACACAGCTGGGGCTTGGAGTCCGACAGACTTAGTGTCACACCAGCTCTGCCAGTTACTGGCTGTGGCTCCTCTGGCAGGTCGCTGAACCTCCCAGACCCTCCGTGTACCTGCATGAAGTGCCGATAACTCCTACCTCCCAGAGCTGGTGAGACCCCCGGGACATAGTAAAACTCATTAATTCAGGTCATTCAAAACCAAATATTTGGGGCACATAGTATGGGCGAGGCACTGTGCTCGGTGCTGGGTGTCATTGCAGACGTTCAGGCAGACAGTTCTAGTTCAGACCCCACTTACTAGCTGTATTTTACTGCTTTGAGCCCCAGCGGCCTCATAGGTCAAGCAAGGGAGAATAGCGCCTGTATTAAGGGATTATTGTCATAATTATGGGCTCCATACAAAGTACTCAGCATAGTACTCCCGGCACATAAAAAGTCTAAGAAGTGGCAGTAACTGTGATGAATACAACCATGTTGAAACATTAAAAGGAGGGGATGCTGGTGGGCTTCATTTAAAGCTGGAGACCGAAATGACTTTTCCTTATTGAGAACATGAAATCCATTCTTGAAATAGCCTCACCCGCATTAAATAAAATATGGGATGCTCTGGCCAGGTGGCTAAGTTGGTTGGAGCGTTGTCCTGTACACCGAAAGGTTGTGGGTTCAGTTCCAGGTCAGGGCACATATCCAGGTTGCAGGTTTGATCCCCGGTTGGGGTGTGTACAGGAGGCAACCGATCGATTTTTCTCTCTCATATCAATGTCTCCCTCTCTCCCTCTTCCTCTTTCTCTAAATAAATAAAATAAAATAAATGGAAACATAGCCTCTGGTGAGGATTTAAATGAATGAATGAATGAATGAATGAATGAATAAATTATGGGATGTTACTTTCCCTTATACACACCTGCTCACTACTCCCTAAATACTTAATGCAAGAGGGGCTCTGAAGAGGGGTGGCAAACTAGAATGGGCAAGACAGGAAGGCTGGGAAAACTGTCTTTAGAGCTCTTTCAGAAGTCTTTTGAAGATACTGTCTTTTTTCAAAAGTATAGTTTCCCTTGCTCTCCCTGATTGCCCAGGTGTAGGCACCCCAATGTCCCCTGGGGAAATCCCTGTTTATGGTCTCTGTGTCCATTGGACCAGCTGCCTTGACTTAGAGGAAATGCAAACTTGACCTTTGTCCCCAGTAGGGATCCTGGCCCCGCCCTGAGCTGCTAGCTGCAGCCCTTCTCCAGCCTTCTGTCTCCCAGCTTCCTGGTCTTGCCCCTCGCTCAGGCCAGACTCAGCCAGTTCTGAGAGTTCGCTGGCTTTCGCTCCAGCAAGGGGGACTGGCTTCCCGTGGTCTCTGTCTACACCCACAGCTCTGAGAAGGCTTGCCGGCCTGCCACAACCCCTCCCCAGCTGGCCTCTCTCCTTGGAAAGCCAAGCACTAGCCCAAAATAGGGCCCGAACACAAACCAAGCACGCACTCACTGGCAAATCGGGGATTCAAAAATGTGACTCTTCCATTCAGGTCAACCTTCCTTTCTTTCCAATGCGGGTGCCTTATGACTTGCCCTCTCAGCGTTTCTCCAGGAGCTTAACCCTCTACCTCAGGCCTCTCATGGCTGCCACACCCCAGCAGGCTTCCGGGTGCTGGGAATGGGTCTAGAGCAGCTGTGGGCAACGGCCCGCGGGCCGGATCCGGCCCATTTGAAATGAATAAAACTAAAAAAAAAAAAGACCATACCCTTTTATGTAATGATGTTTACTTTGAATTTATATTAGTTCACACAAACACTCCATCCATGCTTTTGTTCCGGCCCTCCGGTCCAGTTTAAGAACCCATTGTGGCCCTGCAGTCAAAAAGTTTGCCCACCCCTGGTCTAGAGGTTTTATCCCCACTGTAGAATGACAGTGAAACAAAACTAAGCTTTATTGTCACTTCTTTCACAAGTGTTTAATGAGCACTTACTAAGTACCAGGCACTGTTCTAGATACTGCGGGTCCCTGTCCTCATGCAACTTATATTCAGGAAGAGGAGAAGGAATAAACAAACATGTAGTGCATTTTCAGGTGGTGATGAGGGCGGTTAAAAAACACACGTGAGGGCCAGGGGGCCTGTGGATCACGGAGGTGCCGGGGTGATCAGGGAAGACTTCTCTGAGGAGTTGACTTTTAAGCAGGCACCTGAGCAAAGGGAGGGAGTGAGCCATAGGAATAATGGCGGCAAGGATTCCAGACAGAGGGCACAGCATGGCCCTGAGGTAGGGGGAGCTGGGCATGTTTGAGGAACGTCAAGGAAGCCCCCCTTTTTTCTGTGTCATACTGTAACGAGTACTTTGAAATTTTAATTGTGAGGGAATAGACATAGCATAAACGTTACCATTTTAGCCACTTTAAAGTATACCGTTCACCCACATTAAGTCTATGTGCAACCATCACCACCATCCATCTCCAGCCCTTTTTTCCTCTTCCCAAACGTAAACTCTGTACCCGTTAAAACTAACTCCCCATCCCCCTCTCCCCAGCCCCTGGCAGCCAACGTTCTACTTTCTCTGGGATGAGCACTTTAAATGCGTCATCTCATTGAATCCTCAAAACCACTGTAGGCCATAGGTGTTACTGCCGTGCCCATTCCACAGATGGGGAAACTCAGGCGGAGGGAACTGCCGGAGGTCCCTCAGCTCCTCTGTGGAGGAGGCGGACCTTCAATGGTTTTCCTGGCTCAGGCTCCTACCCTTAACCGCCCACCTGGAGGGGGTGAAGGATGCCACTCTGCTGCCCCTCTGGCAGCCCAGAGGTGGCCCGGAGGGGTTAGCAAGGGTTATGAGCAGGTGAGAAGCTTTTCTTGCTGGAGCAGGAAGGTTTGTTGCACCTGACCGGCCCTATCTGTCCGGAAGGAAGGAAGGGACTGCTGCCCAGAGAGGGGGTGGGGGTGGAGCTAGCAGTTTCCTGGCCTGCGGGTGATGGGCTTGGGTGCCAGGGAGTCCACTCCCTCCCTCACCACTTACAAACTGAGAGCTCGGTAAGTTCGCCTTCAAGCCGATTTCCTTCCTTGCAAACATCATCACGCTGACTGTCCAGGGTGGATGAGAGGATCACATGAGATAAGGCACGGCAGACACCTAATCAGTGTCTGGGACATAGTAGGTGCTCAACAAATGTTCACTCCTTGCCTGGACAGAGCAATGCACACTGGCCAGGAACCAGCCTCTTCGCTCTTCCCTCCGGGCCAAGCATGCATCCTGTTATCCCTCTCAGAGGATGCTTACAGGCAGTCATCTCATTTTACAGACGAAGAAACCAAGGCACAAGGACGCAAAATAAACCGCCCACAGCTAGCGAGCGCGGCAGAGCCAGGATTTAAACCAGACAGTGTGTAGCAAAGACGAGTCACACTGTGGAAACGGCTCGTGCTCCCCAGCCCCCGCTGGATGGCCAGCCTGGGTGGGGGCTGGGGGAGGCAGGGACCCTCCCCCTTCCCTCCAATCCGCCCGCCGGGGCCTGGCCTCCCCGGGGGCGCGAGGACCGCTTGTTGGGTCTCACGGTGACTGCCTCCAGCCGCCCCAACCCCCGGGCCGCCGGGGGGCCTGGCGGCGACAGCGGCGCCTGGCAGCGGGGGATTTGGACGCGGCCGCGTCTCCCCCTCCCTCTGCGCCGCCGGGGGCTTGGCCGCGCCGGGGGACTTATCTCCATTCCCTGGGACAGCCCCGCTCCTTCCCGGCATGCCCCGCTCCCAGGAGCCGCCCGGAGTCCCGCGCCCGGACTTTGCCATCGGCGGGGGGCCAGCCCTGGGAGCGCCCGGAATGCGTCCTGCAGCCGCAGCCTGAGGTGGGTGCGCCCGCCGCCCGAGCTGCGGGAGAGGGGCCCCGGGCGGGCCGCCCAGCCCCTGGGGAGAGGGGGCGCCCGGCCGGCGGGCAGGGTGTGGGGGATCGGGATCGGGGCGCCGCCTGGGGGTGGGGAGCCCGCCTGGCCGCCGCTTTGTTGCGGCCACGGTGCTCGCGCGGGCCCGGCGCCGACGACTTGGAGAAAGTTGGAGCTGCGCGCCGGGTAGCCCCGCGCGGTGCGCGCCCAGGCGCTGGGGGTCCCTCCCAGCCTCCTGGGTGTTCAGGGTGGCCGCCGGAGGGAAGGAGGTAGGGGCTTGGGTCTGTTATATCCTTGTGGGTTTAGCACTCAACAGCGGGGAAGGAACAGAGAGAAAGAGACAGACAGACACTGGGAACTACCCAAGCTATACAAAGGAAGAGAAAAACTCCTGAAACACAGAGGAGAATGCACAAAAAGGAACACACACAAAGAAACACCCATACAGACAGATCCCCGAGAAACACGGCAAAAACTCACGAAGTCATACACATTCACAGAAACACACTCAAACGCACGGGCTGAGAGGAACAAAGCGGGTGGTCTTGGAGGCCATGGGCAGGGGGAGGGGAAAGGAAATTCGGAGAAGGGGAGAGACGGAGGGAGGGGGAAACGTTGCAGGAGTGGAGAGGAAACCGGAGCGGGGAATGGAGAGACAGAAAGAAATGAGAGGAGGGAAGAATAAGACTAAAGGAGATAGTACTTTAGGAGGGACAGTATAGACACACATCTAGAGAAACTGAGGCAGACGCTGAGAATTAGCCCCCCACCCCCCAACATATAAATCCGAGACACAAAGATGGAAGAGACCCCAGCCATCTCACCCTTGTGGGCAAGTGAGTTCCGGTGGGAGAGTAGCTATGTGAGAACTCCGAGAAAGGCCTCCTTGGCACTATTGAGCTACTCAAGTCTCCACCTTGTCCACCTGGCAAACTCCTATTCATCCTTCAAAACCCAGCTCTAGCATCACCTGCCCTGTGAAGAAGGCTTACTCAGAAAAATGTCACGCAATCAGTTACTCTCTTTTCCGTGTATTTCTGCATATGGCACAGGCATGTGGAGTTGAAATGGTTTGTTGGTCTGTCTACCTCTTCTCCTGGCTCTTCAATTTTTGAGGTCCATGTCTTAGTTTATTTCCAATTTCCAGAGTCCACCCTAGTGCTTGGTACATAGTAGATGGTCAATAAATACTTACTGAATGACAAATAGGAGCATTTGGACCCTTTAAGACAGGGAACACAGAATTAAATCCAAATAGAGGACTCATAGAGACTCCCAGGTCAAAGCATCCTTTTTTGTAAATGAAAAAGTTAAAATCAGAGAGGGGAGAAGACTTGCTTATAGGGACACAAGCAGGAAAAGACCATTGTGAATACATACTAGTACTTCAAGACTTCCTTGTTCCTCCAGCCTATGAGTTTAAAATCGGTGTGAAAGAACCGCCTGAATGAAAACAATCAATAGGCGACAGTTTACCAGCTGTAAGTTTCCAACACTGAAACTGACCATCAAAACTTCTTCTAGAATCTAGAATATTTAGACTTCTCTTTATTGTGAAAGGAAAAGGGAGGTGAATGTTCACCTCCGCTTATGTGGCTGGCTTTCTGCCTCCTGACTGTATAAACTTGGACAAATGTCTTAACCCCCCTGAACCTCAGTTTCTTCAACTATAAATGGGGATACGAACACCTGTCTCATAGGTTAGAAGACTTAACACCCGATGTGCCTAGCACAGAGGATGCCTTCAGTATAGACCTTGTGCCCTTCTCTTTCTGAAGTGGGCATTCTTCCATGCACCGGTTGTAAATGAAGACAACAGTGCTGGTGAAAATGTTTCCTTTTGTCCCAGGACAGAAGCCCAGCCTGGTCCATCTGGGGAGCACTCTTTTTATAAAAGAAAAGGCAAATTTGGGGCATGGCATAAAATGCATCTTGATTCTATGGAGGCCTTCAGGTCTCTGCAGGTGACTTGGGGCACCCTAACTTCTCCCTCCCAAGCCCCTCCTCCCCCAGCAGGTAAGACCCCACTGCCCCATCCTTTTTTGCACCTTCCTTACCAGGCCTGCTCTGCCCTGTGTCTTTCAAGCTTTATCCCTTGCGGGGAATGTGACCGGGACTGAGGGGCCACCAGAAGCATGGAGACAGTGGTGATCGTTGCCATAGGTGTGCTGGCCACCATCTTTCTGGCCTCGTTCGCAGCCTTGGTGGTGGTTTGCAGGCAGCGGTACTGCCGACCTCGGCCCCGGGACCTGCTGCAGCGCTATGATTCCAAGTGAGTGCACCCGGGCAGGGGAGGGGGGAGGGGGGCTGTGCCCTGGGGCTCCCACAAAAGAAAAAGCAGCTTAGTGCTGGGCAACTGGCTTAGCTTTTTGTCTCTGCAATGGTACCTGAAGGCTCTCCTTCCCAATAAAGACCTCAGAACTTGAGAATGTTCCTAAGCCCCTAGCATCCTGAGCCACCTCTGTGTCCCTGAACAAACGAGAAAGCAACTCCACATGGTCGCCTAGCGTAACGGTGGGACCGTCTGCACAAAACGGCCACCTCACTCAGCATTTGGACAAGCAACATCCCTTTCCAACCAAACTCATAGGAAGAGGAAGAGGATGCCCGCATGTCTAACCAGCAGGCACTTGGTGTTGTAAAATCCCAGCATAGGCCTATCTCTCTGCTCAGATTTCTTTTTTTTTTTAGTATATTTTTTTATTGATTTCAGAGAAGAAGGGAGAGGGAGAGAGAGAGGTAGAAACGTCAGTGAGGAGAGAGAATCATTGATCGGCTGCCTCCTGCATACCCCACACTGGGGATCAAGCTCGAAACCTCGGTATGTGCTCTGACCGGGACTCGAACTGTGACCGCCTGATTCATAGGTTGACGCTTTAACCACTGAGCAACACCGGCCAGGCTCTGTAACTTTTCTCTTGTTGTTTTGTACCTTGCTTGCTCCTTGATTCACTGTCGAGCCACCTACCCTGCCCGTGACTGCAGTCCCATTAGCTCAGGTTTGGATCCAGGACAAGTGGTCCTGCTTTATTTATTCACTCCCGTCAGCCTTTGGAGGGTACGTGGGCCTCTGTGTGGAGGGGTCAGCCGCGGTCGTCCATCCTGAAGCCGCTTCCCTGGGCTCTTCCTTCCAGGCCCATTGTGGACCTCATCGGTGCCATGGAGACCCAGTCTGAGCCCTCTGAGCTGGAACTGGACGACGTCGTCATCACCAACCCCCACATCGAGGCCATTCTGGAGAACGAAGACTGGATTGAGGATGCCTCGTAAGGCCTTGGGGGTGGCCTGCCTTCCTGGAGCCCCTGGGGATGGTCGGAGGGACTCCCTTGCACCCTTTCCTGGCTTCCTGCGCCTGAACACGTGACTGGGCATCCAGGAGCCCTGTGCCCATTGCTGCTCTTTCCCTGCTCTCATGAGGAGGGAAATCAGAATATGACATAACAGTGTTTGTCCGGGACTCACCCCCAACCCTCATGTTGCAGACCTGAACACTGGGCTTCATAGATATACTCCAGAAGTTGTTATAAAGTCCGCCCTGAGGTGCTTGGTTATCCTTGGGGTGCCCTTGAATCTGACAGGCAGGCTCTGGGGACGCAGCCTTTGTCCTCAGTGTCCTCAGGGATCTTTCTGTCCCACAGGAGCCACTCCATTCCCCCATCATTTAGTCATTCACTCACCGGGCAGATGTCTGTCTGTGAGGCAGTGTGTGCAGGGCCCTGGGCCAGGCACTGCAGGTATTAAACTGGCGGTGGAGACAGAATTCTACTAAGTACAGTATCTCAGAGATGATAGGGGTCTCTGTGCACAGCCCAATGGGTGCATGGCGGAGGCGGTGTCCATGGTTGCCTGGGGTGGGGAGGTGGGGGTGGAAGGAACAGCGTCAGCAGCTCAGAGCACGACTTGATTGGTGGGGAGTCGTGTTGACAAAGCGTTGATTACGTGGGGGTGGGAGGAGAAGGGTAAGGACAGAGGGGCTTCCTCATTAGCTCCTGACTTGTTCATTTGAACATGACGAGGCATCGCTGCTCTTAGGTGGTGCCCAGGTGTGCAGAGCTAGGTGAGGAGCTAGGTGAGGAGCAGCGGTGGGGGCTGGGGGGAGGTGGGCCTCTGAAGATCAGCACTGACACGCTCTTCTTGTCTCCCCAGGGGTCTCATGTCCCACTGCATTGCCATCTTGAAGGTAATACTCTTTGACCGCCCCAGGCGATAAAGGGGGTGGTCAGCGGAGCACCCCGGTGCACAGCTGGTTAGAGTTGAAAGCAGCCTTAGGAAGGGTACGGAACCCTTGCAGGAGGCCTTTTTAACCTGCCTGAAGCTTGGAGTTTCGACAGTTCGCTTCCACTCCTACAGGGACGGTCTGTCATACTGCAGAGGCTTGGTTGCACCTGGTTCTCATAGCACAGTGACCTGTGGGAAAGACCACCTGGGTAGTCACCAGCCACATTGTCGCCGACCGTGGACACAGCTGTGTGCCCGAGACGGTGTAGCTGCTGAGGGGGAAACGGGGCTTCCCACCTTCCCCCTGGGCACTTTCTTTCATTCACAGAGAGCTCCGCCCTGTAGAGTGGGTTGGGTTCTGTATGTGGGCTTCTCCAATGCTAGAAAGCCCGTCACCGGCCCTCTTTGGCGGTGACAGCAGTCAGCCAAGTGGGACAGTCAGTGTTAAAAAATCCAAACCACGAGTTCTTCAAATTGAAGACAGATTTTTTTTTCCCTCCTTAAATGTCTGCAGCCTCCAGGACTGGGTGAAAAATTGCACCCAGTTTGCATTTTGGGCCATTTTTATAGTTTCAGCATTTGTTTTTCAATGTTTGCCAGACACGATCCTGCCTAATAGAATCATAGTAATATTGAAACACTTGGCCATTGGTAAATAGTGTTGGTGTCTTCATATCTGTAACCTGGGAAACCACACATTTATCTTTATCTAGGACTTATTCAGAATTTCAAAGCAAATAGCTTCATCTTCGCTTCAGCGTCTTGCAGTGTAAGGTATTAAACACCTTTCCTCCTGCCTCTTCTCCCGCAGTCTCTCTTGGGGGACAACGAAATGCCTAGTAGGACATTGTTGTCACCGAGTCCTGGCTTTTTATATAATTCCAAGAAGCTCTCTGGGTATAGATGCGGTTGTAGACAGTAATAGAGCAGTAACGGCATATTCCATCTCTCTGTCCCCAGCTGGGGCGTTTGTCCTTTCCCTTGCCTATTAGAGGAGGACGACAGTGGCCCCTGAAGGAGAGGATGAGTCAGCCGGAAGGAGTCTTTTGTTTATTTATTTATTATTTATTTTTATTCTTTATTGTTTGAAGTATTACATATGTTTCCTTTTTCCCCCACTGACCCCACCCCGGCCATTCCCCCCCCCCTGCACATGCCCCCCCCCCCCAGTGTCCGTGTCCATTGGTCATGCTCATATGCATGCATACAAGTCCTTTGGTTGATCTCTTACCCCTCCCTTTCATCACGCCCCCCCCCTCCCCCTGCCTCCCTCTGAGGTTTGACGGTCTGTTCGATGTTTCTCTGTCTCTGGATCTATTTTTGTTCATCAGTTTACGTTGTTAATGATATTCCACAAATGAGTGAGACCATGTGATACTTATCTTTCTCCGACTGGCTTATTTCGCTTAGCATACGGAAGGAGTCTTAGTGGGTTGGGATCAATGGTCCACCTTGCGACCTCAGATCAAAGGAGAGGCTCTCACCTTCCTGTTGAGATCCCGAGGTCATTTTGCTGTGGCCACCTGCCCTTGAGTCCCTGTGGGGGGGGGGGAGGCTCCTGGGTTCTCTCCTGGGTGGGCCCCTGGGCTCCTTGGTGCCCCCTCTTTTGCAGCCCCAACATAAGGCAGGTGATGGAACTTCTTTAGAACCATCCAGGTTCTAACAGGGAGGTGTGGGAGGGGAGACCGGGACTTTGGGGGTGCCCAGCGGAGTTGGCAAATGATGAGAAAGGCACGGGTCTTATGCCTATTTCCTGCGTTTTCCCAAGGCTCTGGCATCACCATCCAGATGTAGTCCCTTGGAAAATTGTTGAGATAAGTGGCACTTTTGGAGGATGTGCTGCAAGGGAGCAGGTGTCCCTTGTCCAGCCAGGTTCCTGAGGGTGCCCTGTGGGCGGTGGAAGACTAAACCGGGAGGTGAAGGAATAGAAAGTGGGTTTCCCTTTACGCGAGACGGTGAAATGAGAGCACATGATTTTCCTTAGACAGATTATTTCAGTTTAGACTTCTCTATGCTGAACCCTGACCCCGATCTGAGGTTCCTGCCCCTCCCTCCTCACCCGGCCGTGTTCTCAGCGTCGACCTCTTCCACCTCATTTCCTCTCATTTCTGTGTACTTTTCACTTCAGTTTGACCATGTGGATTAGGGGGCCCAGCTGTGGGATGGGACCCAAGGCGGGGGTCCTGTTTGTCTTTGTGGGGGTGGCAGAAGCCCCTCGGGAGCTGGGTCACCCCTCATCACCTCTGTCCTCCTTGCTGCCTTAGATCTGTCACACTCTGACAGAAAAACTTGTTGCCATGACGATGGGCTCAGGGGCCAAGATGAAGACTTCAGCCAGCGTCAGCGACATCATCGTGGTGGCCAAGCGGATCAGCCCCAGGTGAGCGGCCAGGGCTTTGGCCCCCATACTCCCCTGGGGCAAAGAGGGCCAGATGCTGAGTTGACAGGCGGGGCCAGGCTCCTCCGGGAAACTACACAGACCACGTTAATGATTTATGTCCCGAACACCCCCAGGGCATCCAGCAGGGGTTGGGTGGGGAGAATTTCAAGCTAAGATGTTTCACACCGTCCCCCCACCTCCAGGGGGCTTTTTGGGAAATTCCAACATATGACAAGTACTGACTCTTCTATTCCACACATCCCACTGTGGCTGCCCCTCCTTTTTTCCCCTTTTAATGTTTTTTATAGATTTTCAGAAAAAGAGGAAGGAAGAGGGATAGAGAGGTAGAAACATCAATGAGAAAGAAACTTCATCGATTGGCTACCTCCTGCACGCTCCCTACTGGGGATCAAGCCTGCAACCTGGGCATATGCCCTGACCGGGAATTGAACCGGTGACCTCTTGGTTCCTGGGTCGACTCTCAATCACTGAGCCACACCGGCTGGGCAACCTGCTCCTTCTCAGTCCCATTCCAGCTGGGGCTGCTTTCCTCCTCTTTGCCTTTGTCCCAGGCTTCGGGTCAGTAAGCACATTTCACCCCCATCTTCTGTGAACTCGTGGCCATGTCCTGTCTCCCACCCATATCTGTACTGGAGACTAATTCGGGGGTGGCTGGCACCCACTGCTCCATCCATGGCCCAGCCAGCAGCCTCCAGGGCGGAGTGGGAGGTGAAGCCGTACATCACTGGGCTCTCCCAAATTCCAGGCATCTGCGAAATCCCGTGTGGGAGGCAACCAGCAGATTGCAGTCAACAGCTACACCCCCTCCTGTGGGCTCAATTTGGTGAAGAAAAATAAAGCCCTTTTCTTAGAGAGAAGGGCTGTGCTAAGTTTGTGCTGCCATCTGGCGGCTGGCATGTGGATGTGCCTGAGTGGGGTGTTGTCCCTGTCCAGCCACAGCCCTGGTGGGAAAATCCCCCCCCGCCCCCCCTGAATTCCAGGGGCCCTTGCTCTCCTGGTGGCTGTGGCCTCGGGTGAATCACGAGGAGCCAGCCCTCTGAGGGCATAGGAAAGAGCTGGTGCACTTGAACTCTGTCCAGGGAGTTCAGTGTGTTGAGAGAGTGGGAGGAGCTCTCCCCGGTGGGTGTGGTCCCATGATTTGTACCAGCCGAGGTCGGACCCTGGCCTGAAGGGCCCTCCAACCAGGCTCTGGCCCTGGCCTGAAGGGCCCTCCAACCAGGCTCTGGGTGAGCCCCAGCCCGTCCTCTGGCCACTCACTATCAACGTGTGACCTGTCACTCCTAAGAGCCACCCCAGGGGGCCTGACGGATTCACGTGGAACCGGGTTATGAGGCAGCGTTGCCAGGAGGGGTCGGAGGAGGAAAGAGATGGAGGTTTCTGAGGATGAGTCCAGGGCTGGGTGGTCAGGATTCGAGGTGGTGCTAGGGTGTGGCTGTGGCGTTGCTCAGAGGGCGGGCCTGACCTGGTGCCCACTGGCCCATCCTGCAGAGCACCTCGGACTGCTTCCAGAACATTCCCGCCAGAATTCAATCTGCATCCTTGTTTTGTCTTGTTGTCCTCGTATGTCATTCTCCTCTGGCCGGTTCTGTCCTGTTGTTTTTCTTGCTCCATTTATTCCACGTGGTGTGTTGGTAGCATCTTAGTTTCAAGGGGTGTGGCGTCAGCTCCAGGCGCCATGGAGACGGGCCGGCAGAGGCTGGAGTGACCATCCCTCTGCATGTTCTCACCAGCCCCGCAGCCCCGAGACTAGAGCATTTGAGGACATCTATTTTCAAGTGTGTTTAGAAATCAAATAATACATTGTTACTTTTTTCTTCCTGATTATCACATGGTCAAGAGCAAAAATTTGGAGCAAGACCTTGTACCATGCAAATCAGAATGAATAGTTTTTTTTTTCTGAACTAGATTTAAAAAAAATTAACCACAAGATATACCATGTGTTAAAAAGAAATACAGTGGAGCAGTTTGCCCCCAAATTAAACTTGTAGGGTTTTTTTTTTTGTGTTCTATATAACCTTTAACCATGTTTTTTATTTTCAAACACAAAAATAATAAATACCTGTAAAAAGAAAAACATTGCAGATATGGGTTATCTAGAAAGTATCCCCTAATTCTACCCCCTCCCAGTTCCTGGGGGTAACCGCTATTGAATAGTGAGTATCACTCCAGACTATTCTTCTCTGCATTTCATGGCTTTTATTTTATTTTTATGCAAATGGGACCCATCAAACTTTACATATGTTGGGCAGTGTATCTTGAACATCATCTCAGATGTTGGACCATGTACTATTCAAATCATTGGAACTAAAACCAAATCAGAAAACAAAATACTCTCTAAACTGAACCTGAAGTCAGGCGGAGAATGCAAAAGTCGTTAGAGAAAACCACTAAAGACGCGGGCCTGGATATTAAAAAAGAACTGGGCTAAGAAAAGGTAGAAAGGAGGGAGGGCGTGAAGGAGCTAAGGAGAGTGAAATACTGAAAGCCCTGTGCCTCCCCTCAGAGTGGACGATGTTGTGAAATCGATGTACCCGCCGCTGGACCCGAAGCTCCTGGATGCACGGTGAGATGGCCGTCCCTCCCTCCATGCTGCGGGCTCCCGGCTTGATCAGATCTGTGAGGTCCGCTGTTTGGGGTAGTGGGGAGAAGGCCATGCTGCTGGATTCCTGGGCTGTCCTGGGCCTTGGGTACCATTCAGTGCAGTGTGAATGGTCGGCCAACCAGTGAGCCACGCCTGGCTGGGGGATTCTGAATCAACAAGGATGCCCGCGGTGGGGCGTGGATATCCCATCTCTGAGTGGGTAGCAGCGGGATGTGCTCATCCAATTGGCTAGATGCACCACGTTGTCCCATAACACTCTCTTCTGGAGGCTTTCCACTGTGAGCAGCAGACAGTGGGCACCACAGTCTTAAATAAGCTAATGAGACGTGGCGTATTATATTCTCATTAAAGGCTCTGAAAAGGCTTCAGGTAACCTTATTTAAATTAGCCGTTCCCAAATTTGTTTGGAGCATCTGTAAATTGCATGCTCACCCACCTCCTAGGGAAGGGGCTCCGGTCTGGGGAACAGACTATAGACTTTAGACCAGTTGGGCTTTGGCACGAAGTTCCTTCTTCCTGGGGGGACCTGATCTTGTTGTTGTTTTTTCTAGGACAACGGCCCTGCTCCTGTCTGTCAGTCACCTGGTGCTGGTGACCAGGAATGCCTGCCACCTGACCGGGGGCCTGGATTGGGTAGACCAGTCGCTGTCCGCTGCTGAGGAGCACTTGCAAGTCCTTCGAGAAGCGGCCTTGGCCTCTGAGCCAGAGAAAGGCCTCCCAGGCCCTGAGGGCTTCCTGCAGGAGCAGTCGGCCATCTAGTGCCGGCTGGCCAGCCGCTGACCACAAGGGCCGGCCTGCTGCTGTCTGCGGGCGGCCCGGCCGAGCCTTCCACTTTTCCTGTCGTTAGTTCCGCACGGCTCGGGGTCCAGCCGTGTGCATCATAAATCAGGAGAGCCCGTGGGTTGATGCCTCTGTTGCAGTTGCAGATGGTGGCTGGCGAGTGGCAGTCTGACACCACAGTTAGGGGAGACGCCATTCACCGTCTGCCAGCCCTCTGAGCACTGGTGGACTCTAACCTTTATTCGGCTCACCTGGTGCTTTCGGGGAAACTGAGCCACCACCTGAGAATCAGGAGGTTTCTCAGCACAATCAGCATTTCTGGCTTCCCTTGAACAATCAGAAGGTGAGGCAACTCTGACCTGCATTTTCCAAAGAGGACAATCAATTGGAACTAAGTAGGAGTAGCCCTTTTTTTTTTTTAATCCTCACCTGAGGATGCTTTTCCATTGATTTTTAGAGAGAGACACAGAGATTAGAGAGAGACACACAGAGAGAAGCATCCATCTGCGAGAGACACATAGATTGGTTGCTTCCTGCACACACTCTGACCGGGGCCAGGAATGGAGCCTGCAACTGAGGTACATGCCCCTGACCAGAATCGAACCCGGGACCCTTCAGTCCGTAGGCCGAAGCTCTATCCACTGAGCCAAACCGGCTAGGATGGGGTTGCCTCTTTTTGCAAGCCCTATACTCTCTCACCTGGTCTGTTTCATTGATTTGTGTTATCTGCCCGATCCCTGAGGCATCTGAGTCCCTCCTCCCCTTCACAGGTGTGTGTTTGAAGGTGAGCACCTCAGAGTTGATTATTCCCTTTTCATCTTTATGCCTGTAATTTGACCTAGTTACCACTACGTGGATAGTAAATGCATACTTAGGTTTTTCTCAAGTGTGTGGTTATTGAGTCCAATTCAAATGCGTGGGGGACATATGTGTCCGAGAACTGAGGGTGGAAGGAGAGCGCCTAGGAATCCTCAGAATGCTTTGTGCGTGTGACTCAGTGAAATACTTAGATGCCCTGAGTTCAGGTGGAGGTGAAGATGCCACCCCTAAAGTAGTTCCATGTTAGCAGTGACGTCCATGAAGGACGTGCTCCGCGTTCTTTAGACATCGGTGTGTTTTGTAAATATTGGAAGCTGAGGGGCATTTTTATGACTTGAGACCTTTGTGAGACCGAGAATCCCAGCTGCTCAACCCAGACGCACATCCTGATTGCGTCATTTCCAGCAGGAATGCCTCAAGTACTTTGCTTCCTCCCAGGTTCTCAGAGCCAGTCTGTTCGGAGCTCCGCATCGGTTCTCATTTAACATTCTCTGCTCTGACTCACGTCAGCAAATCCCTCAGCCTGATTCCGGACAACCAGGAACCCATATCCCCAAGCCCAAGATTTGGGCCTTGCTTGTCATTGAGAAGTGGCATTGGGCCCATTTCATCCGCCCCTGGAGAGCAGGATGCGTGTAACCAGCACAGAGTGCACCAGTTCCCACCTGGGGAGGTGGCGTCGGGGGAGGGAAGCTAGAGTTCCACTCATGGACTGAAGGACGGATTCTTTTTGTTGTTGTTAATCCTCACTTTTATTTTTCCATTGATTTTTAGAGAGAGTGGAAGAGAAACATCGATGTGAGAGAAACACATCGATTGGTTGCCTTCTGCACAAGCCCTAACCAGGGCCTGGGCGGGGGAGGAGACTGCAGCCGAGGTACATGCCCTTGACCGGAATTGAACCTGGGACACTTTGGTCTGCAGGCCAGTGCTCTATCCACTGAGCCAAACCAGCGAGGGCGAAGGATGGATTTTTGATTACAGGGGACACCTTATTGGATGGTCCACTCCGATCAACTCTGACTGCATGCTAGGTAGTTGCCGTTCCTGTCCTGTTGGTGAGCTGCTAGTGGGCAATGTCCACAGAGCCACTTGGACACTTCTATTTGTGGCCTACATAAATAGACACCCACAGTCCTCCTGGTTTTATCCTTTTTTCCTCCCTTTCAAAACCTGCTTTCAGAACCAGGCTGGAAACTCATTCATACTAGGCTTGCAATGGCTGCCACCGTTGTTAATGTCCCCTGCGCTTAACCTGGACCAGAGCCCTAAGCCACAGAGAAGCAACCTGGAGTTGACCTCTCAAATACCATCCACCAGGTGTGGGGTTGGAGGTGGAGAAGTTTCCCCTGAAGTGACCCCCACTGTCACGTCTGAGCCCTGGCGGGTCCCAGCACACCTGCTTCCTGAGGCCCTGAGCTGCTGCCCTTTGGGTGGTGAGGAGAGGTTGCTGAAGACAGGAAGTGTCTGTTAGATGGCAGGACCTCTGCTTCCGCTGCTCTGTAGTTTTTTCTTTCATCTCCAGTGCAGGGCAAATTAAAGGTCACTGGATAAGGGTGGTGTTGAGGTGGAGCTGATGGCTGAGGTGGAGCACCAACTGCTCTTTGGGAGTTGGCAGAAGTTACTTCCTCCCTTGGGAGGGGCTGGTTGGGGAGCACGAGGGATCTAGCCAGGAGGTTTCATGGAGGAGAGACACATCCCAAGTCGCTAGTTCACTAGTGCAGGTGGTAGATGTTTTCTTCCATGACCCCCACCCACTCCTACCCTGGAGTAGGAGCATCAGACCCAAATTCTAAATGAGGAAGGAATTAGGGGTAGGATTTGAGTGTGAGAAGAGTAAAATCTTTGAAGTCGGGCAGAATTAGGTTCAAATCTGGGCTCAGTCATTTACTGTGGGAGCTTGAACCAGCTACTAAACCTCTCTGGTCCTGGGCTCTCTCACCTGAAAAATCAAGGCTACTGCCTCATTGGGTTGGTGTGTGAATCAATGAAATGGCATATGAGAAATGTCCCATTGTGTGCCTGGTACTGATTAACCAACATTAACCCCTCTTTCCACCCCACCCCCGCCCCCGCCCTGGGCCCAATGCAGCTGACCCAGATCTATCACCTCGATTACCATGGCTCTGTCCAAGCAGGGGCTTTGCGGCCCAGTAGCCAAAAAACCTGGAATCACTGCAGTAGGGAGAGTGGTCCAGCGTGTCCCTGCCCCGCCCCACGTTCAGGACAGACAAGCAAAGCTCTTAGCCTCTTATCAGGGTTCCCAGGGTTGATTGCTCAAGTTGCATTCCTGCAGCGCAGGGCCCGGGAGCCTCCTTCAGCTTGTGAAACCTCCCCAACAGAGCGGCATTCAGCTCACCCGGTGCTCACCCTGACCTGCCTCGTTCCAGGAGCGGCTCTGCAGGGACTCTGTGTGCCCTCAGGAGCCTGATCTTTAGAGAAGGACTTACAGTCCAAAGCCCCTGAGTTGTTTTATGACCTTACACATTTTGGGAAGATGGCAGATGACGAATTCCCATTCATTTCCTCCTTCGGTCCCTCTCTCCTCTCCCTCCCTTCGCAACTCCTCCCCCCGCCCCCCTTCCTCCCACAAATATGTACTCTTTGCTTACTCTGGGAAGAAGTGTTGTGCTAGGTGCTGGGGATATAGAACAAAAGGCACAAGCCCTGTCCCTAAGCAGCAAAAGAGACAAGGGAGCAGCTGAGGTCAGTGTAGTGAGAGGGCTGTGAGGGCATGGGGGCGGGGGGTGGCGGTGTCGATAGGGAAGGCACTTGGGAGGAGCTGATGCTTGCGTTGAGGCGTGACAGAGGGTCAGAGAGGTGACCAGACATGGTGGGAAAGGTCCGAGGCCAGGAGAGCATGCTCATTTGAGAAACGCAGGTGACTGGGGAGGGCCGGAGTGTGGGATGTAAAGGCCGGACAGGTTGGCCGCCAATCAGATCATGGAGGATTTTACAGGTCATATCAGGGAGTTGACGCTTTATTCTGAGCATAATGGAGACCATAGAAAGACTTTACCCAGGGGAGTGACTTGGTCAGAATTGCCATTTAGAAAGACACTCATTTACTTCACACCCTATGATGTTAGGCTCCAGGATCCATAAATTTGCGCGATGCCTCTGAGTGCCTTTCCTCCCTGAATCTGAGAGGCTCATGACTCAGTCACGGTGTAAAGTCAGGGTGGGCAACTGGGTGGGAAGGGAGTAAGCGAGGAGCTAGGCATCAGAACAGAACGTGTGGGGTGCGGGGGGGTGGGGGGGGGCGGAATTAGGTTGCACCGGGCCTGTCTCTGTACCAGAAATGCTGAGGAGCAGAGCTCTGAGGATTTGAGGCATAACTGGGTTCTTTCTGTTTCATTCCCTCTGAATTTTCATCACCCCCATTTACAAAGCCTACGGAGGTCAATGACTTTCCTGGAGTCATTATGAGTCAGAACAGGGATTTCAGCTTCCCAGCTAGTGTTCCGTCACCACCACTCCTGCCCACTAGGGGGCGGTGCGTGGGGGGAAATCTACAGTGAAGGAAACAACCCATATGAGTCATTCTATTCCTTCTAGTTCTACTATTTTTCATGAAAAAAAAAATGGTGGTCCTGACCAATAAATTAATTTCATGGCCAATAGTCAGTTACAACACATAGGGTGATAGAACATGGGCAGTAAAATGAGGGCTGGGGCATGGGTGAGGCATTCTCTCTCCATCCAAAATGACTTAATTTGTTCTGTTTTAAGGAAAACGTGCTTTTACCAGAATAGTCACAAAAATTCATGGTGCAAAATGAATAATTAACTTATTACATGATTGATTAGTTCAAGTCATCTGTGGAGCATCCATACTGGGCGAACCCTGGGGTATATTGGAGAGAATAAAAAGATAATGCCTCTCTTGGGGCACATGTAATCTAAGGTGGAAAGAAATCCCTAAAGAAGGATTTGTGATACAATACAGTAAGTGCTAAGTAAGGGAACGTGTGTGTAACGGGAGCACAGAGCAGGGCACCAAACCCAGTCTAGGAGAGTTTCCGGAAAACAGGATGTCTTGGAATTGTCCAGGAGACGTAGGTGTTAGGTCGGAGGAGGGTAGAGGTGGAGGAGGACAGAGCAGTTGTGCAGTGTGACACCCCATACTGTGCACGTGTCAGATGGGAGGTGAGGTGGTGGGAGAGGCATCGAGGGGAGAGGAAGGAAAGGACTAGACGCAGGACTTTTCCTCCAGGTGGGAGGGAGTGATTGGAAAAGCTGGAAAAGCTCTTATTTTTTCTTGGAAACTATCAAATAATCTCTGCACCCTCCCCAGTCTTTAATGTTACCCTCACCTGATAGGTGAACAATGATTTGGCATTGTGTTAATTTGCATTAACCTGACTGCTGGTGAAGTTAAACGTTTTTCATGTGTTTATTAGCTCTATGTACTTATTCATGTCCTTTGTCCATTTTCCTCCTGGGGCTGTAATATGTTTCTTATAGATTTATATGAGCTCTTTATATATTAAGGATAACAAACCTTTGTCATATCTACTGCATATATTTTCCCCAGCCTTTGTCATTTGCCTTCTAGTTTTGTTTAGAATGTTCCTGACATCCAGAAGTTTTAATTCTGGTTTCGTCAAA